AAAGAACCCAAAAAGCTGGTTTTGGAATGTTGATTTTTAACGGCACTTTGGCACAAAGTTTTAAATTTAAAAAAAAAAAAAAAAAAAAAAAAAAAAAAATCAGTTTTTGTTACAATCTTCTTATAGTGTAAAAATTATTTAATTTCTCCTCTGTGAAATCTCTCATTTGAACTAAAACTTTCACAGTTACACATTTTCTGAGTTTGCAGTAATGCTGCATATTGCATATATATCAATTGTCCTTATGAGTGCAGCTCATTTAGCATCCATTAGTGTTGCACATTTCCAATGACTTTGGAGTGAATTTGCTGCTTAACCATGCCCACCACAAAACAATGTTTTATGCTTTGTTAGTCATATTTAACACTTTGTTTTCATTGCATTGTGGACTGCACTCTGCGCTTGTGCTCTGGATTTCAGTTTAGCCCTGATTGGAAAAAACAAGATGTTTTTTTGTTTTTTTTTATCTAACATTGTTATGAAGTTTTGCATCTTTCTGTCTTTGCAAACCAAGCAGCTCTGTTACATCTTGATCTTGTGATAGATAATGAGAAATATTTGACTTACTGTCTTGCTTTAATGAGAGTTTGCACTCTTTGTCCCTAACTTTGTGTTTTGATGGCTTCATACGCCCTTGGGAAGATGCTAAAAATATCACAATTGTAACAAGCCGGATGCTTGTTTAACTCCTGTTAGGAAGAGAGGAAGTTTATTAAGGTACTTGTTTTGCCATCTGAGGTCATTTATATGCAAACTTTGTTGTTTAAAACAATGCCAATTATAATTTTTTTTCAAGGCAACTCATCTAAAAGTGTTGCTTGCTTGTCTCTGTTATTAGTTTGCATGTTTATTTTTTCCATGCACCAATTTTGAGGCTAGTAGATGTGCATCAAAGCTAGCAATCTTTATGCAGATTACTTAAATAAAAGTGTCAAAAAGGTTCTGGTGTTTTCCTTCAGGTGTGCAATGTCCTTCCAAGGGAGCAGTGGTGCAAACTGGAGATGGAGCAGAGTTCAGGACCCACGCTACAGGGCGCAGAGACAAGTTGGCCGTATGTTCTAATGCTGGAGCTGGGAACCTTCATTGTGGACATAATGGTGAAGAATCTTAAAATTAACAGTGACATCCTGAACCCCGCCTATGACAAAAAGCTCATCCCCATCCTCTACCACATGTATACCTTCCGCAGCACCAGACAGGTACAGACCCACTTTGTTATGTGCAGCCTCTCTGATGTAATTGTACCTTACTTGAAATTTACTTGGGCAAGCTTCACAAAGTATCAACTCCACTCTTTTCACAAAAAAAAGAGAGAACTTTCTTGTAGCTGCAAACTTTCTGCATAATCTGCATTTAAAGACAGTTACAGCATTGATGTTTGTAATGCAATTTTAACTTTTCAAAACCAAAGAAAATGCAGAACATCATTTTGATTTGTGAGGTTGGGGGGGGCGGGTGGAGGATGAGTCAGTCTTACACAAAGCAGAACACCACTGGATTCGAAACATGTTGGTTGTTTTCCACACAGAACTTTAGATGAACGTCCAAGGGACTGTGGAAATGTGCACAGCCTGACGCCAACGGTTATCGGTCACCCTTAGTGGTTAAACTAGGAATTGTGTTTGTCGTTATTAGAGGATACCGCAAATGCGGCAGTATGAAGAAAATTTTATATATATATTTTTTTTAGAGACTAAGAGCATTTACTGACCCACTGTGATGATTTTAGATTTCCAAAGGAATCATGTTGAAATTATGCTGAGAACCACAACCTGTCTTGGAGTGCGGCGCTGCAACGAGCTGTAACCATAAAGCTGCTGGACACGCACTCGACTTTTTAGCAGGATGCCAAAAACTGATCAGGTCTGTGCTAGCTGACCCTGAGCCAGTAACCTGACAGTGGAAGTATCTGCCTAGGTTTATAGATTTTTCAAGCTGCAGTATGTAACATTTATAAAAAAAATAAATAAATAAAATGTTGTGATACTCATAGATGTCACTATGTTGTGATAGGTAATGAGAAATACAAAGGAAATCTGTTTGGATTTATACATTCACAGTGTCAAACATCTGAATTTGTGTGCTGACAGCTTTCTTGATTCATGCTATGCTAGTCGTTATCTGTTGGAAATTGATTAAAAAAACGTATAGGTAGGTTCTTAAGGGTTTGTGCCACCCTCATTTACATGCTGCGCAGGGTATAGAGCCACATGAACCTTTTTAAAAAATCACTACTGTTTAGGTGCAGATGTTTGGGATTCTTATTTTAGTGACTCAGAGTAAAAGTTAAAGAAGTTTTTGAAAACTTGTCTGAAAAAGCTCTCCAGAGGATTAAGAATAAAAGAACAAATGAACAAACCTGTTCCATTTTTAGCCCTCCCAATTTGTCAAATTAGCTCCTAAATTAGGGATAATTATACACAATTACATTAAGTAATTGAGAAAGTTATCGGTGAACTAGCTGTACAGCTGACCTTTTCATGAACAAAGAAATAAGGAGTAGAAACAAAAAGAGCAACCTTTAAGAACTTGACCTTCACTTTTGTCACAAAGATTGTTCAGAAAGCCTGTTACCTTGAACACTTGAGCGCCCTTCTATCCAGCATGAAGCTCCTAGGAGGGTGATTTATAAAAACCACTTTCCCCTGGTGGGGAATGGTGGTGGTAGCAGATGAGTAAGATGAATAGGGCCCGGCCTAATCCCTTTTTTTTTCCAGCGTCCCCTTAATTGGCTCGCTGATTTACTGCCGTGGGAGCCTGCAGCAGGCTGAGGTGACCACGCTCGGAGAAGCGGGCAGATGTGTGGGTTGCTGAGCTTGATGCGCTTTGACAGTGAGACATACTCTAGTCAAGTTTAATTCTTGTGTAATTTTCTATTCTTGTAGATTCAGACCCTTTTCTCCACAGTGATTAACCCATCAGGGGGGATCCTAATGATTTTACTGCACAGCGTGAAGGTTTGAGTCATTGGAGTGACGCTGAGGTGTTTCTGTCAGGTTACAGTCAACAAATGAAGCTCTTTTTATTCACTGCTTCACGCATGTTAAGTAAAGTCAGACCCAATATGCATAACAGCAAACCTACTCGAGCCATCTGCTCTAGCAACGACTTCTGACAGATATTTTACATTAAACTTTAAGGGAATATTTATATGAGTAAAATAATTTAAAAATATGGCGTTATGCATTCTTGGAAAGTCTGATAGAACTGTAGGTATTTCCCAGGACTGGATAGATGTGTAAAAGAAAAACCAATTGGTGGCAACAACAATTTGCTAAACTTTTGAGAAGCAATTAAGCCTCAAGCTCTTTTTTAAAATGCTTTTTTTATTTTACTGATTTTTATTTATTTATTTTTCTTTCTATGAGCAACTCAAATATTCCTACATATCAGTTCAGACTCCACTTGCATTTCACATGGTTTTCCCTTCAGGTTGGCTTCATCAAGCCACACCCCATCTTGACACAGATGCAGCAGGAAGCCATGGAGACCACGCTGACCTTTGACTCGTCAGTGATGCCGATGCTGTGCCCTCCGGTGCCGTGGACATCGGAGAAGTTCGGCGCCTACCTGCTCACCCCGGCCAAGCTGATGCGCGCCACGCACGGGGCCACGCAGCACGAGGAACTGCTGGAGAAGTGTCCGAATCTCCACCCGGTTTTTGACTCGCTCAACCAGTTGAGTAATTGCGCCTGGAGGGTCAACAAGCCAATTCTGGACATAATCATCTCGATCTTTAACGACCGGGGCAGCGATAAGCTGGACATCCCTCCGCCTCTGTCAGAAGCCCCTAAAATACCCCACTTCAACCCTCAAGACCCCGACTACACAGCCAGCGAGAAGGCACACATGAAACGAGAGGTGATCAATGCCAAGAAGAAGTGCAGCGAGATGCACAGCCTGCGAATGGACGCTCTTTATAAACTCTCCATTGCCCACCACATGCGGGACAAGCTGTTCTGGTTTCCCCACAACATGGACTTCAGGGGCCGCACCTACCCATGTCCCCCGTATTTCAATCACTTGGGGAGTGATGTGACTCGGGCGACGCTCGTGTTCGCTGAGGGGAAGCCTCTTGGTCCCAAGGGTTTGGACTGGCTGAAGATTCACTTGGTCAACTTGACGGGGCTGAAGAAGAGGAGCTCACTGCAGGGACGTCTGGAATACGCCGACAGCATCATGGAGGACATCCTGGACTCTGCAGATGACCCTCTGAACGTTAGTTCACCTTCATTGTTTTGATCGCCTTCATTGTTTGATCGAAAGTGTGTTAAATTATAATTGGCTCGGTAGAGGGTGTCCGCGCATCTTCAAAAAGTTTTAAATTAATCCATCTAAAAGTAAGTCTTTAAATTGTCTTAGTATTAGATACATAATACACAAAATCAAACAGCAACGGAAAGACAACATTTAAGACCTGTAATTAACATATTGAAGGCCAACTTACTTTTTAAATGAATTTAAGTCTTTCAAATATCTTATATTCATTTGAAAAACAAAAGCTGGTCTTTAATAAGTTAATCACATGTCTTAGTCTTGACAGGACTATTTAGTCTCATATATTTTATCTATTCTTTTTCTTGTGGGACTTTTCTGTCATGCAAAAGCCTGAGTCACTCGGACATCTTCATTAAGTTTTTTGACTCAAAATGTTTGAGGCTACTGCTAACTCACTGCTAGCGAGCTAGCAAGAGTTTTGGGTCTACCACACTGTTGTGGGGTAGACCCAAAAGTTGACCTTTGGGGTCTATTATGGGTCTCAACTGGCAACGTTATTGCCACTTGGCTGGACAAAGTTCATACGTCTCTTCTGAGATATAGGTCTTACATTTCTTTCATAGTGGTCTTAAGTATGAGTTGGTGAAACATGCAGAAACCCTGCTGATAGAGATGTTTTTAAAAAGACTAAATACTCTAATTGTACAACAAACAGTAACCAGTATTTTCTGCATATGTTTATCAAAGCAATCTGTTATGTGTGTGCCTTTTTTTGTCTCTTTTTAGGGCAAAAAATGGTGGATGGAGGCCGATGAGCCATGGCAGGCACTGGCCTGCTGCATGGAGATCGCCAACGCAGTCCGGTCACCGGATCCAACTAAGTTTGTCTCTCACTTTCCTGTTCACCAGGTACTGAGAAAAAAGAAAAAAAAAACTTTTAAAATTACTTGTAGACATTCTAACAGGTGTCTCAAAGGAGGAAATATTATCTTTAGCAAATCTTCCTGTCATTTTATTTTGACAGCTCTACTTGGTGTTGTCGTGTTGGTTATTGCTTGAGGCATAAACAGGGTTAAAAATGCATGTGACTACAGACTGTGAAACTGTTTAATATTATTATTTGTCTTCACTATAAATAAAGGTTGAATGAGTGAGTGAAGGAATGAATACTCAGTCCTTCACTTTTTCTTTTTCAGGACGGCTCCTGCAACGGCCTCCAGCACTACGCAGCTCTTGGCAGAGACGTTATCGGTGCGACTTCAGTCAACCTCATGCCCTGCGAGGTGCCCCAGGATGTGTACAGCGGCGTAGCCCAGCAGGTGAGCAGTGGTGGGCTTTTTGTGCAATTTGCCAGCATTTAGTTCCAGCCTGTACTCTGCAAAAACCTGACGTTACACAACAGGAGACGGGATTTTACGAGGCACGCTGCAGTTGCTCAGTGGTTATTATTCAGATGACTCACTAAGTCCCAAAGTGAGTGACAAGCTGAGCATGGAGAATATTTTTAAGTTTCTAAGTTTAGGTCTTGCATTTAAAAGTGTTTAGTTCCTCTTGCTCTGCATCAAAGTCGAGGGGAGAGAGAAGACACTTTGTTATTCTTTTAAAGTTTATGTGTGTGCATGCATGAAAGCACCCAGGTTGCAGAAACACTTAAATTGGTCCCAGTTGTGACTTTCTGGCATTTCAGAACAACAGGATTTGAACTGAACCAAGGACAAGCCTCTGCTCCTCTAAGGGCAGTGACTGTAACTTCACACTGAACGCTATAAATTTGAGATTGCTGCAGAACTCTGCTTTGGTGGGCTTTGTCTTCATCTGGGCTTTGCAGTTATTATTCGATTATACTGTTTATGACATCAAGCGTTGAAACAGTAAACGACCACACTGAAATAAATAAATAAAAATCTTTCTTATTCATAAGGTAATAACCACGTAATTTGGGACATACAGTGAGAGCTGTATGTCCCAAATGGAATAGAATAAAAATATTATTTAACGTGGGGAAATTCAGATGTACCAGCAGCAAGTTAAAGCTAAGTAGAAGCATGCATATTCATACAAATTTAAAAAAGTACATAAAAATAAGAATTAGACTGTGCAGTAAGGACAAATTTACAACATAGGAGAAATGTACTGTACAATTATTAAAAACAGCATACCAAGATTTAAAAAAGTGAAACTGAATTTGATAATTTGAAGAAAAAACTAAATATTCTTATATATGTGTGCATTGAAAAATAATATACTACATACAAGAAGTGAAAAAAAAAACAATGAGGATGTGCAAAAAATAATAGGAATATAAACTTCTTGAGTTTGGAGCAGTGATGGTTATAGTTTTACAGCAGCTGGAAGGAAGGATCTGCTATAGTATTACTTTGTGGACTTAGGATGTAGCAGTTTTACGCATGAGGTTCTAAATCCATTAATGAATTTTTCAGTGCTATGCATCTCAGATGGTAAGATGTGTTTGTGAAATATTTTGAATATATGAAATATTTTAGAGTTGACTAGTTCCCAAGCATAAACAAAAACGTGAGACATTGAGCAGGATTTTAGTGTGATCTCTTTAAATATTACCTAGTGTTCTCTTGCAATGTAGATGTGCAAATATGTGGATTATCCGGGGATTAAGATGCATCTTATGCATCCACTATGTCCCTTTTATAAAATCCCAATTAACTCCATTGAAGCTTGAGTTTGTAGTAAGACAAAGGGTTAACATATCTCAGCTTTAGCAATGCACTATATTCTCAAATTCCCTTTAATAGCTTGACTGATACAGAAGACATTTTTCTATCTCCCAAAAAATGTGCTTCAGGTCGAAGAGCTGCGAACTCGGGATGCTGCAAAAGGCCTGAAGATCGCCCAGGTTCTGGAGGGCTTCATCAGCAGGAAGGTGGTCAAACAGACGGTGATGACTGTGGTGTACGGAGTCACTCGTTACGGAGGGCGCCTGCAGATCGAGAAGAGGCTAAAGGAGATTGATGAGTTTCCCAAGGTACAGCAGTGTGTACAGCGAACACACTTGTATTTTTAGCCTTTAATCAATGTGATGTCACGATGAGGGTTTCCTCCTTTTTCCTCCCAGGTTTTCTTACTTGCACAGGAAGCATTATTGCACCTTGAATCGTTTTTGTTATTGTGATCTGACCTGAAAATTAGTTGTGGGACTCAATTTAATTAAATCAATTTAATTAATTTGAGGCTTTGCAATGAATTCATCTGTTATAAAGCATATTTTCCGTTTGAGATTAATACTCCTACATATGGTTCATGTTCAACAAATTAAACAAAGAGAACAAGCAAATGATCTTGTTTTACTCAGGCCCTATAAGTAGCAATAGTTTTTTTTTTTGATTGCTTTAAATTTCTGATGTTTCTGTGTTGTCTGGAAAATATGGAAATGCATCAAAAAAACATTTGTTTCCAGGTTTTTCCGTTCGTTCATTCTGACATGGAAAAAGCATTTTCACCTGGTTATGCAGAGTGACTCTCCCGTCATAATCTGAACAGTGCAGCGAATGTCTGCTGAGTGCAAACATGTTGCGGCTGTTGTTTACTGATCCAGGGCAGTTTCGAGGCCAGAAATGAAGAAATCAAATCTTGGCAAAACGAGTCGGACGCGTTGTTTTCCACATTTATGCACTTCAGCTGTTTAAGATTTTCATCCGCTTGATATTGTGTCTATATATTTACGTTAAATCTGTTTTTATTTTAGTTCAGGACCTCTATTCTTTGGACATAAAAGGACTTCATGTGAATAATTACACGAATGGATGTCTGTAGAACATTCAGTGCTTATTATCTGTCCTACAGTTAACTTAATCTTAAAAATACTTGAAGGAAATGACGCATTTCACATAGAGGGCATCAGCAGAACGCCTCCCGGCACATAAACCTCACAGCAGTGCTCTAAATGACTTCTGCTTAATATCCTGTATTGGTTTTAGCAGGGAATTGGGTGGGCCTATAATTGTGACTGATTACGGTGGGGATGTGCTTTGAGCAGGAGGTAGCACCTACTGTGGAGATCATGTTCCTGTAATATGAGGATAAATGCAGTCCAATGTCCTGCAATTTATATCCATTATTTCCATTACACTTTGGATTTGCTACATTAAGTTCAACAATAATAGTAACTAAGAGCCAAACAAAAAAAAAAATAATAATAATAATTTCATGAATTATTTAGATATAGCGTGAATAAAAGGATGTTATTGTCTTGCGTTTCAGGACCATGTATGGGACGCGTCTCATTACCTTACGCGCCTGGTGTTCAGTGGCCTAAAGGAGATGTTTACGGGAACCAGAGAGATTCAGGTGAGCCAGTTTCAACCATGCAAACATTTAGCTGGTGTTTTACTCTAATAGTCTAACAATTGTTAGACATTGTGCCTCCGTCTGTTTTCCCTCACTGAAAAAGACAAAAGAGAAACGTTTCCAAATAAACCCACCGTCCGCCTTGCAGTTAAACAAAACATGCATTCATCTTAAATTTATGCTTGTTTGAAGTTTGAAGGACTTAATCAGCACTTATATTGTGAACTGCTATAAATACTGCAAACACTGTTACCTCTTTGTTGGGAGCTGGTTGCTACTTATCAGTCGCCTTATCAGACCTTGTCAGATCTTACATTTGCTGTTTAATATGTGTCAATTTTCATTGTGAAATATGTTTAAAACTATGACAAAAAAACTAACTCAACATTAATTTTAAAATTGATCCTAAATTTAAATCCTAGCATCGGTACCTTCATATTCAAAAACTCAATTGATTTAGGTAATGTTTCATAAAAATGAAGATGGTGAGTGAAAATAACAATTTCATGTTTTGGATTTAGTTGTTTTGCCAATCAAATTGTCTATGATCAGTGATGTGGGGGTCAAATATTGAAATGTGTTGTTGTTTTTTTCCCCCTTTATTTATTTTTACATCAAACCTTGAACAAAAAAAAACAAAACAAAAAAAAAAAACTCCCAACATTTTTGTTGCCAACCAACAGTATGTACTTTGTTATATACTGTACAAGATTTATGAGTTTAATATCACTCACATAAAAGTTAGGAAGATGACTTGTGATCTTTACATGGGCCAAAATGAAAATGAGTTTGATACTGCTTTGACCATGTGTCCAGTTCTCACATTCATTATCTTTTAGCCTCCATGAATTTACTTAATTTTACTTTAGTGTCTTTGCTTCAAATACTTTATTTTGCAGAGACACTTGAGTTGCTTCAATTGTAAAATTCTATTTCTTTGTTGTAGCACAAATCTTTCTGTTTGCGTGCGTCTGTGTGGTGAGGCAGTAAAGCTTTCTTTTTGGGAAAATGGCTTCAGACACTTGTGCAGACATGATTGCTGCAGGTTTTGTAGCGAGCAACAGCTTCTGACCTGTTCCACAACAACGCCGCCACAGTTGTTGGCCTCTCTTTAAAGCAGAGCAGCAGATTTAGGGCTGAAAGCCAAGGATCGTTTCTTGACGCAGTAGCTGGCTGAAGTTTCTGTGTTCTGTGGTTGAAAATGTACCAGAGGATCTATTTATGGGTCCGATTTATTAAATTTTGATCCAGCAGACCATGAAAGCTTTATCTCAGTGAACTCAGTCGTTTGAACACGTCTACATACACAAACACGCACATGCAAGCATGGATACGACCATATGCGCATGGCAAATATTTAGCGGATGCCGGGTACTGAAAGTATTTTTATTTATTTTTTTTGTTTGTTTTTCACCACTGCTGGTGTCGTTCTGTTGCAGGACTGGCTGACAGAAAGTGCCAGGCTCATCTCCAAGTGTGGCCACACTGTGGAGTGGGTGACACCCCTGGGCTTACCGATCATTCAGCCTTACCACCGCACACGCAATTTATTGGTAAGTCTCACCATAGGACTGACTTTCCACTGCAGAGACCCAATTTAACAGATATTTGAAAGAAGTCAGTCAGCTTAGCCAGTCGCTGCTTCTTGTAAAAGTATTTCTATGCTCTCAACCTGTTCAAACTAAACCTTACCTGAAAGTCTATATTTGTACCGACTGTCTCGCCAGAGCAAAAATCTTTTTGCTTTGTCCATCCCATTCCAGCTTCATTTTGAAGTACTTCAAAAACAGCACAGTTGACCCAAGTGCTGTAAAACAAGCACAAGAAATACAATTGTTTATTTTATATCCTTTGCAGCTTTCTTTCCAGAGGAAACAAGACTCAAAAATTATTCAATCAATATGAGTTTTAATCCTCCCATCCCGTCAGTGTCTCAGCCGTGGGTTTTTGTTTTTGTTCGTCTCGGGCTTTCCGAGTCTCTCTGGGTTTGCTGCCGGAGTGCGCCACCGATGGTGTATTGCGATTATTCTAAGTGGTGCAACTTTAATAGACCTCAGCAACATAGCCTGTTTTGTTTGTCGCTATGGTGATACCGGCAGTAACACATCTTAGAGATATAACATGACGACTGTGTGCCGGCGTGTCTGCAGATAACGCAGCTTCGTGTGCGTTGTACAAACTGGGAAGTGTTCCCATCTGTATGAAGAGGGAAAGACCGCAACCTCTTAACTTCTTAATTGTTAGCGACGTGAAGGGCGGAGGCGGACACGTTGCCGATCAGATTAGTAACTCGTGGGCTTGCTCGGCATACAAACTGCTCTTTTAGTCTGACTTCAAGCATAAGGTTGTCTTAGACAGGAAATGCCACCGCGGCAGCAGGTGCAAATGACTTGGAGTGACAGATGGTAGATCCCCTGAGGGAGCTTCTCTTTCTCTCGCTGTTGGTAGTCAATTTCTTTCCCTGATCTGACCTGCTTCTTTTGATTTACAAAGCGGACCAGGAAGATGCTTAGCTGAGCTCCTTTTTGCCTTTAAGGCCTAAAAATAAACAAAATAGTAAACAAACAAATAGGTTAAATGAGATTTTACTGACAATTTTCTCGATCTGCTTCAATAATTCTCTAATCCAGTTGCATCACTGGGCAACAAAAAAATGAAACCATCTTGCAGAAAGGTCACCTTTGTAAAGTATAGCTGGATTAAATTTAATCTCTCAGTCTCCTCGCTGCATCTAAAATCCAGGGCCGCTGCGTTCCTGTGGGTTATCAGTAATTACACTGTAGATAGAAGGCTAGGCTGGAGAATAATGCTGTGCAGAAAAAAAAAAAAATGAAAATAAGGTGAAAGTAGCGGGTGTTTTGTCGCAGGAGAATTGTTTGTGTACATCTGAGGGGAAATGTAGGAAAATTAAAAAAAGATGAAAAAGACTTTGGAGAAGGCGCCTTACTAGACCAGAAGACACTAATCCAATCAGAGGTCACTTTGGCTGATGTGTTTTTTTTTTTTATATATATGCTGTCCCCTCCACCCAGGGAAGCTGTAGTATAATCTTTCTCAGCGGATGCTAACTCGAGGGAATCGGCTGGATTTGACCGGATTTGTGGGTTTATAGTGTGACTAAAAGCTTGTGATCTAATGTCCTCTGTGTGAGAAGAATTAGTCTCCTCTGGGTTTCACTGATCGGGCCTCTCTAGTGGAAAAGTTTTTCATTAAGTACACTATAGCTGCTTGTGGCCTGTAAACAGTTTGAAACCAATGTGCCGTCAATAAGTAATTCACCTGATCGGTGTTTACAAGCCCACTGAGGTCGCGAAAGTTGGACCGACTCTTTTACCGGCCTCGGATGGACTTTATGACACGTATGTAAAAGCTGCTGTCGCTTACAGTTCATTCACAAAAGTATTCAAATCCCTTACACCTTTTCAAAAGTTATTATGCTACAACCACATTTTGCATTGTAGAGTTGGTGTTTGGATTTAGCCTCTTGACTATGGGAATGCTTCTCCTTCCGTCCTTATGGTGCTTTTCCTTTGTGTGGCTTTTCCATTGAAATTCATGTAATGTATCTGTAAATGTCAATGTGATTCCATTCAGTTGCCCTACATGGGCTTTTTTTTCTGACTTTTTCCAGAATCTTGTGGCATTTTGGGCCAAACTAAATATGCGGTTTGCGTTGTAATGGTAACACCATGAAAAGTTAAGTTTAGTGGGGATACAATCAGCTGTAGGCCAGCGGAGGTGTGGCTAGGTGAAGCAAAGATGATTGAGGAAATAAACATATTACTGGGATATATGATTGACCCGGTTACCTTGTGAGCATCTGGAGCTTAACCGTGATTTAGACTTTAGAAACTCATATCCGACCGTAGGGCGATCCAAGGTCTCCATCCGTCTTAGCGGCATGGATTCAATCAACTCCCTACACGGATCATACGCTCTTGTTCATACATTATAATACACGGTAGGGATTTGATTTACAGTACGGCAGATAATAACTCGCATTAAAAAAAGGAATTGCTTTTTTTTTTACCCGTTCCATGTTTAAAGTCACAGCTTCTCCTTACACCTCTCACGTAAGTCCATCCGGAGATTGGATGTAAAGGGGGGAAAGGGCAGATTGTCTCATCCTCAGTCCATCTACATCCATGATGGTTAAGATGGCAGCCATGTCACTAAGTGATGGGATTTATCCTCCTTCCTTTGCGCCTGTTCTTAAAGCTTTCTCTGATTGTGCGAATCTGTCAATCAACACACAGCCACCTTTAACCGATTGACTAGAACCAGCAAAGCGAGAAGCGTTATGACCCCCTAAAGCTAGGCTCAATGTTCTTTCATTCGTGCAGCTGCTCCCACCTCCTTTCCTCCATGTTCATCTTTCCCTCTTTAATGTATTCAGCTGGTCTGTTCTGTCCTAGAATTGGATGCAGTGAAAGATAAAGAAAGTTGTTAGCAGTAAACCCCGTAGAAACCCTTAAGTAGGTACCTCTGTTTCAGTGGTTTCAGAGATAATGGATTATCTGGACAAGAGTGTGTATGACAGCAGATAGAAAATGAAAAAATAATGAAAAGAAAAAACGTAAGTTGGTGTTAGACAATCATCACTAGTGACAATGTTGTATTTAGCTCTCCATTTTTAATGCTCTCTGCACACACTTTCAGCTGCATGGCTTATTATATAGTATAGTCTGCTTATATGTATTTGTCTAAAAAAACATATACTACATTATAATTATCTTTAATATAGGACTATA